GGGGGGGGGAGGAGAAGACAATGAGGTGGGCGTCAGCAAGCGCGAAGCGTACGATACGACGCCACGCTACGCCACGCTACGCCACGCTACGCCAGGCCACGCCGACAAGACTCACCAGGTACACTTCTCTCAGCCCGGACGCTGCACTCAGGACGTGCGAACGCTGGAGCGCCGAGACGCAGTGCGCCGTATCGGCCGCCATGCCGCCGGGTCCGCACACGCACACGCTCATCGTCTCGACGCCCTCGCCCTCGCCCTCGCCGTCGTCGCCGTCATGCCTGCTGGCCTCAGCGTCGTCGACGAGGCTGGAGCGGTCGGCGAAGCGGGCGATCAGGGCGGGAATGTCGGGGCGTCCCGGATGCGTGCCCCACTCGTCGGGTATGCACGTGTCCGTCCCGGCTGACGGTCGCGAGAGGTGCAGACGCAGCTCGACGTCGATCCCGTTTGATCGCAGCGTCGTGAGCGACGAGAGGAGGTACGGCGTGAACCAGGGTATCAGGGCTGGCGGGCCGACAGACAAGCGTGCGTGCATGGCAAGGAGCAAGTACGACAGGAGCGGCAGATGGACAAGCGTCAGTCAGTCGGTCGGCGGTCCGCCTCCTCGCTCTACGTTCGTCCCTACCGGGCCGCCACTCACACAGCGAAGGGATGCTCCACACCAGCGCCACCTTTTTCGTCACGATGCCTCCTGCCGAGCGGGGCGCGGCCGAGCGGACGGCGAGGTCCATGAGGATCGAGAGGCAAAAAGTGATGCCCACGCCGCCGGCAATGAGCAGGACGGCGTCGTACGACGCCATGCTGCACCCGCTGCCATACGGCCCGTCGATGACGGCGGGCAGCGTGAGGCTGACGGTGCGCAGCGTGCAGCACGCCGCGTCCTCGTCCGAGTACGGCAGCTGGCACAGCTCAATCTCCGAGTCGGCCCCGCGATCGACGAGGAGCGCGCTCTTGGACTCGTCGTAGTGGCGCTTCTCCGTCTTGCTCGCGGCGACTGTGTTGGACCGAAGAGATGTGCCGGTGCTGGCGCCGTCGGTGCGCCTCCCCGTCAGCTTGACGTGCCGGTAGAGATGCCGCGTGAGGCCGCGGTGGACGCGCGCAACAAAGACGAGCTGCGACTCCTTCTGCGGGTCCGGCGAGGCGAGCGAGAGAATCGTAAAGGGGTGCGCCTGCGAGGCGCCGAGGGTCGGGAAGCGGATGAAGAAGTGCTGAGCGGGCGTCCAGGCGGCGGGCGCGTTGAGCGCGACGCGGACGATGGCGCCGTCGTCGGTCGTCCTGGCCTTTCCATCCTCGTCCTCGTGGCCGTCGTCGATCTCGACCTCGACCATGGCCCTCGTCCTGCCAAACGAGCTCTGCCGCATCGCGTTGCTCCAGCGCCACAGTGTCGAGAAGCCCCACACGGCCACGATGGGCCAGAGCCAGCGCCATGTCTGCAGCAGGTCGCGTGTGTGCGCGAACAGGAAGCCAAGGAAGACGACGACCGAGAGGATGTGCTGCACGACAAAAAATTCGTACGAGAAGCTGCGGAAGGCGCCGACCGACGAGGCCACGATCCAGACGAGGAGGGCGATGCACACCGAGCCCGTCCACCAGACTGCAGCGGGGGCGGGGGCGGCGAAGGCAGCAGGAACGCAAAGGGGTTGCGAGGCGACGGGACAACGACGGCATGTCAGCGCGCGTGCTTCTGCACAGAAACGGCGGAAGACTACGCCCCGAGTCGCAACTCACCCCTATCATAGTTGAACCACGCCTTGAGGTTGGCCGCGCCGCCGTCGTGCAGCGGCTGCCAGAGAAAGGCAAACGTGTGGATGAGGGAGAAGAGGAGGACGAGGCGGGCGAGCCACTGGTGGTAGAGCTGGAGGCGCTCGTGGCTGATGGCGGTAAGCCAGGTGATGGGGTTGAGCTTCATGGCGAGGATAAACATGAAGGGCATGATGCCCTGGGCGATCATGCCGGAGCGGACGCCGAGCGGCGTGGAACCCCACACCTCGGCCGGACGGTAGTAGGGCTTGACAGCCATGCACCAGACGACGAGGCCCGTGGAAAAGGCCAGCAGGACGAGCGTCGCACCGAGGGCGGGGAGGCGGTCGACGCGGAGGAGGCGGTAGACGAGCGGGCGGCGGTTGCCGGGCGGCGGGGAGCGTGGGTGGTAGTAGCCGATCCAGCGGCAGAGGGCGGCGATGTGCGAGTACAGGGGCAGGCGCACGATGCGCCGTGCGAGCGTCGGACGCCGTATCCGCAGCCGGTGCAGGAGGCCGGGCAGGATGGCGATGGCGATGAGCGCCAAGAGGACCCAGGTGGTGGTGTCGGCATAGCGGCCCATATCGTAGTAGGAATCCTTGCCCTCCATGGCGGCGTTGCGCAGCGCGGCGGGGGGTCGGCAGCCGGGGCCGACCATGCCTGGCTTCCATACGCAGCCGGGGACCTCCTTGTGCCTGGGCACTAGCCGCGCCCCGTTGCTGGTCGATGCCATTTCGAACGAGACCATCCTGGCGTTGGTGGCGGTGGTGCGTGGGGCCTCGCCGTCGTCGTCGTCCGACAAAGCTGAGCTGAGTTGAGCTTCAAGCTAAGGCGACCCGAGTCGAGCGCGGAAGCGGGGGGTCTCTTTGCGATGTGGTGTGGGCGTTGGTGATGGACGGGAGGAAAGCCAGCTGGGCCGGCCTCGGGCGAAGTCCTGACCAAGAGAGAAGGCGCAGGCAGGAGCCCTCGCCTCGCCGGCCGGAGGGGGTCCGGGCGGAGGCGCCAAGAAGCATGCATGCAGGCGGTGCCAGACGAGCGAAGCCTGCCTGCCTGCCTGCCAGCGGCCCGGTGCCAAAAAAACGCTCCGAGACGGCATCTCGGCGCCTTTTCTCCCGTTGGCAGATCTGGCCTGACCAGGCACAGCGAGCCTGACGAGGGAGCTCCTACAGGACGCGGCTCCAAGCGGCCTCGCCTGGCCACCTTGTTCCAGGCTGCCGTCGAGCCGCCTGCCACGCCACTCTCTCTCACTCGGACGTCACAACCAGCCAGCGACATCGAGCCACCGCGGTCCAGTCCATCCATCGTCTGCATCGTTCCACGCCGGTTCTCATAGCTCGTGTGGTTAGGCAGAGGAGATCATAAAAGGGTACAAAAAGGCTGGCCCTCGACCAAGCCGGCCGGCGAGCCAGGCGGGCATGCTGGCTCGCAGATTAATGAGAAATAGGAGGCGCAGCGAGCGGCTGACCGCCGACGCCTACGACAGGTCGAAGCCGGCACCGCTCTGGATGGCATACACGAGCTTCTGGCGGCACGTCTCTGCGTCGTTGTACTCGGGCAGCTTGAGAAGGTTGACGCAGGTGCTGGCCGTAGGCAGCCGCGTGGCGTCCGGGCCGGCGTTGCGGATGGAAAACTTGGGGTTGAGCTCGGCGAAGCCCAGCAGCGGCGGGTTGGGCGAGCTGGTGACAAACTTGAGAAAGGCCTTGCGCTGCGGCTGGTCAAACGACTCGAGGGCCTGCCAAAAGTAGTCGACGGCCACGTCGCGCTCGTGGTAGCCGCCGTAGACGGTGTTGGCGCGCAGGTCGGCCACGTCAATCGGCTCCTCGGTGCCGCACACGAGCACCCGCAGCTCCTCGCGGTTCATCATGCGCAGCCAGCGCGGGTCAATCATCTCGGACAGGCCCAGGAAAAACGCCCGGCACTGCTCGGCGATCTGCACCGACAGGCGGTAGTGCGATACGCGGTAGATGTACTCGAGCCGGTTCTCGCGCGTCACGGGCACCTCGCTGCCGCCGGGCACCAGCTCCGTCGTCTTGCTCACCCCAAACTCGTCGTCGGTCACGGTAAAGTTGAGCGCCAGGTCCGCCTCGACATCGCCGCCGTAGTTTTTCAGGTAGATGAGGCCCCGGTAGAGCTCCTTGTCCAGGCTGTCGAGGCTCGCCAGGTCGTCGAGGTAGCCCTGCTTGCCCAGCCACTTGCTCAGGAAGAAGCTCGCAAACTTGACGTCGACCAGGATGCCCTCGTACAGCGCCTTGCCCAGCACCCGCCCCAGGAACGTGTACCACTCGAGCTGGTCGGGCGTCTTGGCGTAGCTGTGCGGGTTCGGGTACAGCTCCTGCGCATCGGTCGCCTTCCACAGCCCGCGGTTCGTGTCGAACGCCTCGCGCACCAGCGACGTCAAGAACTCTTTGTAGACGCCCCCGCCATCGATACCCGCCTCCTCGTGACCCCACTGGTCGATGAAGGCGATCTCGAGGCGCTCCTTGAGCCGGGGGCCCAGCGGGTTCATCTGGGCGAAGCCGTCCTCGGCAATCATGCCGCGCCGCACCTTGATCCGCTGCCGCGCGTAAAACGGCGTCCGCGCCAGCCCGAGCTTCTGGGCGTCGATGTCGACAAACTGGCGGAAGATCTCGACGCGCACGTCGAACGGGATCACAAAGGGGATGTTGTTGAGCACGCCGAGCCGCGGGCTGAGGAAGGCCAGGTTGCGCGCCGAGAGCTTGCTCGTCTGGCCGCGCCGCGTCCGCAGCCGTTCGGCGACCGGCAGCGGCGGGATGCGTCCATCATCGTCGTCGTCGCCGTCGTCGCCATCGTCGCCGCCCCGGGCATCTCGGTCCGACGTTCGGCCGTTGGTGCCGTTGCGAGGGGAACGCGATCGCTCCGCGTCCGCTTCGAGCTCCGATGGGGGCATCGACTGATGCGGGGCGCCGTTGAGCTCCCTCTCTTCGAGGATGACGGTCTGGATGAAGCTCTGCAGGTCGAGCTGCGACACCATAAGCCAGTGGTCGTCGGGCGTGAAGCGCCGCCGCGAGTCGCGCGCGTGCAGCTGCTGCAGCAGCTTGGTCAGCAGGTTGCGCAGCGATAGGAGCGGCAGCTTCATGCCCGGCACCCTCGGAACGATCCGCGAGCGCGACGAGGCGGAAGGGGCAGCGACGCCCGATCCCGCGGGCCGCCCGTCATCGCCGTCGAGGTTGGCCAGCGGGCCGGAGCCCTCGTACCAGTACATGGCAAAGGCGAGGTTGCGCAGGATGGCGCTGAGGCTCACCACCTCGTCGAGGGTGAGCGGGTTCCTCGACGAGGCTCCGTCGCGCGAGGCCATGGCGGGCCCACCGCCCAACCCAGAGACCGAGGAGCTGGGCGGGTAGAACTCGTCGTCGCCGATCGTCAGCAGGCAGCGCGAGTAGAGCTCGCAGATCAGCACAAAGGCGGGCCATTCCGAGCTGTGGCCGGCGTCCGATAGGGTCGCGAGCGTCTCGCGCGTGCCGCTGCCATGCCGGGCGGCTGCCAGGGTGCGGGCGAGAGGGTTGCCGCGGATCTGTCCGCGCCAGAGCTCCCTCACGAAGCCGCCGACGAGCTGGCCGGCGCCTCCCTTGGCTGCCTGGAGCGAGCCGCTCGCCGTCTTTGCGGCCGCCGCCTCGGCGGATCTCGCCGGCTGCACGTAGCCGTACATGATGGTGTTGAAGACCCTCTCGCGCCCCGCCGCCGGCCAGGCCGTGAGCGTGGAGCAGAGGAAACTGCAGAGTGCCTGTCGCGTCGAGGTGGGGAAGCGGCCCGACGCCGTCAGCAGCGCCGAGAGGTGAGACTCGGACACCACTGCCGAGAGCCGCTTGTTGGTCTGCGCGTCCAGGGGCAGAGTGTAGGCGGGGATCCGGGGCGAGGGCGATGCTGCGGCCGCCTGAGTGACGGTGCGGCTGGCCGCTGTCGAGGACGACGCTCGTGCGGCAGAGCCGTCAGACATGACGACGTCCTGAAGGCCCAGCTGACCTGTCCTGGCCGACGACGAGGAAGGCATCCCAGCACCGCCGTCGCCGTCGCCGCCATCTTCGTCGTCGTCGCCATGATGCCCAAAGTCGGCAGGGAAAGTGCTTCCGCCGTTGCCGCTCCTGGCCTGCTCCTTCCACTCGGCCGGGCTGAGAAAGACCTGGCTGGGGAGCGCGTCTTGGGCTATGGTGAGCGCCTCGAGGTAGGTACGGATGGCTTTGCCGTCCTTGAGGTGGGTGAGCCTGCCCGTACCGAACGTGAGGAGATTGGCCAGGAAGTAGGGCGAGTGCAGCGGGTTGTCGTCCAGCGCACTGTCACCCGTCGCGACGCTGATGTAGGAGCCGAGGGCGAGAATGTGTTCGAGCACGTCCATGAAGGGGAAGGCGGCGGCGAACTCGGTGACCGAGGGCAGGGGCACGCGGTTGGCCAGCAGCGGGATTGTCATGATTGAGACGCAAAAGGAGCGGACCGCCTTGTGCCTCGGCGGAACGACGTCGTCGTGGGCCGTGTGGTCGTCGTCGACGACGACGATGGCGGCGGCGGGAGCGGATCCGTCCTTGGGCACAGCCGGTTGCGACCTGAACACGCGGAAAGGGGCGAGGGAGAGGGACACGGCCGAGGCCATGGCGGGCGACGCCTTGCGATCGACGGGGAAGGAGAGGACGAAGCGCTGCAGGGAGCGATGCAGGTCGAGGTCCAGGAGACGGTCGAGGGCGAGCTCGACGAACGACTGCCGCCCTGCCTGGGCCGCTGGCCCGCCGGATGGTGTGGGCAGCAGCGCCAGCGATGCGAGCGGGCTGGAGGCGTCTGTCGAGGCGAGTAGGCTGAGGAGATCAAAGTAAGCGAGCGTCGACTGGGATGGCAGCGTCAGGGCGTATTGGGCGATGTGGGCGAGGAGCTGCCTGCATACGAGGAGGACGAGCGAGACCGACTGGCGATCGGCCTCGAGCTGATCTGGGGCGGGCGACGTGGCCGAGTGGGTGAGAATGAGGACCAGGAGAGGAGCATGCACGGCAGCCGCGGTTGGGGTGACGATGCGGCACCAGGTGGCGAGGCGTTGGGCGTCGTCGTGGCTGTAGCGCTTGTCGGTGCGGCCGATGGAGAAGATGAGGAGGCGTGTGAGCTGTACGGCCTGGCGCTGGAGGTCGAGGCGATCGAGGGTAGCGGACTGGGAGAGGTTGTGTTGGAGGTCGTTTGCGAGCGAGTCGAAGCGAGCGGCGAGGTCGTGTCGGAGGGACCTTGCCACTCTTGCGCCCCTGAAGCTCGACTGGATGAGGGCGGCTGCGGCGTTTCGCTTGCGTGTGAGTTCCCTTGCTGCGCGTTCTGCGCGTGCAGCTGCTGCGAGCTGTGCTGCGCTCTGACCGTGGCCGGACTGACCGCCGAGGTTGATCTGGCGTACGGGGCGGCTGCCGGTGAAATTGAAGTCCATGGCGGGTTGGGTGGCGGAGGGCTGTCGTCGCGTGCGCGTGTGGCGGGTAGGTGAGGGTGGGCTAGGCAGGGACGACGTGTGTACGAATGTGCAGTAGAAAGACGGAAGGGATGTGAGGCATGCGCACCGGTGGCGGTGGCGGCAGGGAGGTGGTGGTGGTGTTGGTGGTGGTGGTGGTCGTGGCGGCGAGGACGACGAGAAGAAAGAGTTGGTTGATTACCTCCGAGGCTGAGCCGCAGCCGCTGTCGCTGCCGCTGCTTCGACGGCGCTTTGACGGGAGGCCGCGTCAGTTTGGGCGGCTTCCCCCTCCACATGGCCACCCACCAAAGCACGGACCCACGTACGCTTGGGGCAGCGCGGCTCAGTCACTCTGGTCCTGCCATGCTGTGGGGAGCGGCTCCTCTCTCGCCTCCCCTTGCCATCCCACCACCACCACCACCGCCATCAACGCTAAACCTCCCTCAGTCTCAACCACCAACACCAACATCCACCCCACTCGACGACCTGCCCAAAGGCCAACC